AGGTCCCCTAGGTCTACGGGAGAGGCCTCAATTTGTATTGTATTCTTTCTAAACAAACAGGGAGAGAGAGAGAGAGAGAATGATGAGCTAAAACAGTGTGTGCACGTCACATACAGAAGGATCTGACAGCAGTTATTCAAGGTCTCAAAACATTATAGATTTATAATTTGCTCAGCACCACACCATACAGGAGCACAGCCCGGAGGTCAGATCAAGTATAAAGCCATCAATTCCTCTTCCAAACTAATTGGGGGCATATACCCCACAAGGCCCCAGTGCAGGTGAGTTTTTCCAGCTTTTCCTTATAAGTTTCCAGTCTATGTTGTTCAGCTTAGAAATGGGGCGGGGGAGGGGGGTCCATCTAAAAGTTTCCATCTTAAAAAAAAAAAAAAAAAAAAAAGGAGCTTCAATCCCTGTCTGACAGACTAATGTGTTTTCAGAGAAAACAGGTTATTTCTTTACCAATTTAAGTACTCACTCTATGACAGCACTGTAACATTTACATGCCCATGACAAGAAATTGTGGACAGCGTACAGGGAGGGGAAGGAAGGGGATGGTTAAGATATCATAAGCTTTCTACGGTGCTGGAAATGAATGAAGTGCAGGACAGTAAAATGTTCTCCTGAAAACTAACTAAATTCCCATGACAATGTGCAAGTTTCCCCTAGTGAAGTGTTCCTCAAAAGGTTCTGACTTTTGCAAAAAATTTCCCAAACCTATCAGATGTTTGCGCTAGTTTCAAAAGGCACAAAAGAAGCACTTCATCTCCAGCATATCTATGCTTGAACAGGAACCTGGGTTAGGACAGAGCTGGTATTTTAAGGAAACATTTCCGGGGGGGGGGGGGGGGGGGGGGGTTCAGTTTTAAATGGAAAAAGCACTAACACCATGGCTTGTCTACACAACGAAATTGACAGGCATACCTACTCTGTCATAGTTTAGCTATGCCAAAGTAACTCCCCCATATTCCAGAAAAGTCACTTATTTCAGAACGTAAGAACAGCCATACTGGATCAGACCAAAGATCCATCTAGCCCAGTATTTGTCTTCCAACAGTGACCAATGCCAGATGCTTCAGAGCAAATGAACAGAACAGGCAATCATGGAGTAATCCATCACCTGTCATCCACTCCCAACTTCTGGCAATCAGAGGCTAGTGATACCCAGACCATGGGGTTGCATCCCTGATCATCTTGGCTAATAGCCATTGATGTATCTATCCTCCATGAACTTATCTAATTCTTTTTTGAACCCCATTATACACCACCACCACTTGGCAACAAGTTCCACAGGCTGTGTGTTGTGTGGAGTACTTCCTTCTGTTTGTTTTAAACCTGCTGCCTATTAATTTCATTGGGTGACCACTGGTTCTTGTGTTATGTGAAGGAGTAAATAACAACACTTCCTTATTCACTTTCTCTATACCATTCATGATTTTATAGACCCCTATCATATCCCCCCAGTCATCTCTTTTCCAAGCTAAAAAGTTCATCTTTTTTAATCTCTTCTCATATGGAAGCTCTTCTATACCCTTTGTCCTTCTCAGAGTAGCGTGTTTGCATGGGGGAGTTATTTTGGAATACCTGTGTGATGCTGTATGGAATCTGCGGAACACTTTATGTTTATCATTGATATCATTATTGCAAAATAGCAAGGAATCTGACCAGATATGCCCTGTAAGGTATCTGTGAAAATGTTCTGATTTGCAATTTTTTCTCTTACTTAATTGGCCTCTCAGAGTTGGTAAGACAACTCCCACCTGTTCATGCTCTCTGTATGTGTGTATATATATATCTCCTCAATATATGTTTCACTCAATATGCATCCGAAGAAGTGGGTTGTAGCCCACGAAAGCTTATGCTCTAATAAATTTGTTAGTCTCTAAGGTGCCACAAGTACTCCTGTTCTTTTTGCGGATACAGACTAACACGGCTGCTACTCTGAAACCCATCTTGTTTATATGTTTGTATCACCTTTGTATTATGAGTTACAGATATGTACGGTACATCTATATTTCCAAACTTGCACCGTGTTTCTGGGTGACACTCCCAGACAGCTTGGCATCAGCACTAGGCCTGCTTGATGGCCCATCAAGGGACATCAGCTGTACAATGAACCCATTGAAAGGAGCCAAGGACTACACCTTATGACTCAGCAAGGCATGCAGGGGCTTGCCTACAGACAGAACTCTAAGGACTTTCAATGCCATGTGCTATGAGTTTGTGCTTGAAACAAAGGAAGTACCAGACACATGACAAAAGGACTATAAAGGGCAGCTGCATCATCTCAAGTTTGCCTTCAGTCCTGCTTCTTACCTCTGGAGGAACTTTGCTACAAACTGAATCTCTGAACAAAGGACTGAATGACCCATTCAAGCTGTGGATGTATTCCAGAGGGACTTTCAAGCCAGCAAACTCACCAATACTGCTAAGAACTTGATATATGTACTTTGAAGTCTTTTTAGGTACACCTCTACCTCGCTATAACGCGGTAAAACAGTGCTCGGGGGGGGGGGGGGAGCTGCGCACTCCGGCGGAATAAAGCAAGTTCGATATAACGTGGTGAGATTTTTTTGGCTCCCAAGGACAGCGTAGAGGTAGAGGTGTATGTGATTGCTTTACCATTTAACAACTTTCTTCTTGTTCTTTTTTCTTTATGATAAACCTATAGATTTAGACACTAAAGGGTTAGCTGGCAGCGTGGTATTTTGGGTAAGATCCAAACCTATATTGTCCTGGTAGGTGGCTGACCCTTCTGGGTCAGAAGAACATTTTGTATACGTGAGCAGAGTTTTTTAAAAGAACTTCTCATTGTACTGGACCTATGTGCTGATTGTGAGCCATAGAACTGGAATAAAATACAGGGGGCTGTGTGATTTCATTTTTGCTTCTTGATAACCAATGTGGGGGATCAAAAGCACAGTTTGTGACTGGTTGGGGGAGTTTAACTTCAGTGTTACCCACCAGTCTTGGGAGTATCTGCTCTCCCTTTTGCAGCCTGCCCTGACCTTGGCATTTCCAGTGAGGGCTGCTCTAGGCACACCGGGTCACAACCTGTGCTGGTTAATTTCCCCATGCATACAAGTCCTCAGTGACTACAATGGAAAGATCTTCAGGGTACATACATAGAGGAAGCAAAAGATAGCTATTTTATCATAATCCTCATGAATCACAACAGGGAATATCTGGTCACCCACACTGGAAGGGCTGAAATTCTCAAATCTGCTTCTCCCAACAACCAAATAAGAATACCCCTGCTAGCAGCAATCTAGTGGAATTTAACTCCTTCAGTAAGAGAAACAGAGGTTTCAAAGTCATTTTAATTCCTTGATAGGCACACCACTACTCAACCAAATTTAAGACCATGTGACCCTGACCTTAAGTCAAGCAACTAAAGAAGACTGAATGACCTTATAGAAAAGAATACTATTGCTAAAAAACATGAAATCAATATTAACACACCAAGAATTAAGTCTTGAAGCTAGACAGCACACAATTCAATTTCCCAAAGCTGTTTTACACTAGAGAATCTACAAGTCAAAGAGTCAGGAAACAAGTGAGTCTAAGTCTCCCTTCCCCCTTGATCAGCTCCAAAACCGCTGGTAGGAAATGGACTGTAAAGCTTCAAATTACTAGCTCAATTAGGCAAGATGAACAAACGAGACACTTACTAATGTTTACTAACTAAGATAGCCCATTTATTTTTAATCAAAAGGAAATCCAAAATTTGCAGCGTATGTAGTCCGCCTTTAGACCCCAGTAACTGGGTTAAATTAGAAGTCAAAACATAGGGATCATTTAAAGCTTAGCACACAAATCAGATGCTGAACAGAAATTTAAATGGCAGAGCTTATTGCCTAGAAAAATCCTAGGTGCAATTTACAGAGTTCATCTAAAGTGCAGGAGTTACCATGAGAAAAGGTTAACTCTAATATTCCCGTATTTACCTGGGCATAGTGCTCCAAGGAGCTCCTCCTTCAGTGAGGTTATCGCCCAGTGACTGAACTTTTCAGTAGTACTTTGATCACAGCTCCCAGGATATGACAGACTTCAGGAGATCCACACTGCTCTGAGTTTCCCAGCAAGGGTCTCCACAAACATGCAATTAATTTGGAACTTCATTTCCCAGCCCTTTGGAAAAATTTCCCTACACAATGTAAGCAGCCGCTCTATTACTTTACAGAGGAACAGAGCTGAAACTTGCTGTGCCATTGTTTACGACAAAAGAAATCCAAAACAGAAGTACAGATGTTTCTGCCAGGAGAACTCACCCCACAACTAAGGGAAGACTGGAAATTCCTGGGGTAAACGTTACAAAACTGCAGGGTAGCTTTGATCCAACATTTAGACAACCAACACACATGCTATGCCACACACCAGGATGTGTAGATCAGTTAGAAGGGTTGTGTATACACACGGCTCAGCTTGTGGTTACTGGGCAAAGGACCAGGGGGAGGGAGGGGGTTTAACCCTGGCATGTGGCATTAACAAACAAGTAAAATATAATTGTAACACACGTGCAAAAAGCCCTGAGGCTATTCATGAGCTACAAACCCTAAACGTCAATCAGATCAGCTGGGCGAACTAACACAAACAAGCATGGCACCGAAATAGCCCAGCTGAATCTATGAATGAAGTTTAAAAGCCTTGTTTATCTCAGCACGTGTGTGCAAAGCCCGGAAGATATTAGGGATCTACAGCAGCAACGCAATTTCATTACTCTCAGACTAACTGAAGGAGAGTGTGGACCACAAACAATATGGGGGGGGAGGGGGTTTTGCAGAGCCACATCAGCGGAGCTCCTATATGTGGACAAATAAATAGGGAGGCAGAAACAGGTTTACCAGAAGGAGCCCCACATCTATGCAAATCCACACATCAGCCTTTAGGGAAAGGGGGATGGACAAATGCCCATCTGCCACATACCCCTCTACTCTCAGCCCAGCTTGCTAGGGCGGGTAGCCAGATGCCCCAGCGCCCCGCCCCCCCCATGGCCCCACCTTTCTTGAACTCCTCCAGCATGGCATCAAGCTTGGTATCGTTGAAGACAAAGTGCAGCGGGTGGTTGTAGAAGCGAGTGATGGTCTTGAGCGGGGTGCAGTCATCTGGGTCCACAAAGGCCAGGTCCTTGACGAAGAGCAGGTCCACAATGTTGGAGCGGTCGCCCTCGAAGACGGGGATGCGAGTGTAGCCACTCTCCATGATCTCAGACATGGTGTTGAAGTCCAGAACAGCCTCAGCGGCGATCATGAAGCAGTCTCGGAGTGGGGTCATCACGTCCTCCACCGTCTTGGTGCGCAGCTCCAGCGCCCCTTGGATGATGTTAAGCTCCTCCTTGACCAGATCGTTGTAAGGGTCGGTGACCCGCAGCATCTCAAGCAGCTTCTCGCGGTTGTAGACCGTGCCGATCTCCTGGCCCAACACGCAGTCCAGCAGCTTGCTGACAGGGTAGGAGGCTGGGAAGGTCATCATCATGAAGAACTTGGTGAGGAAGATGGTGTTGGCACCCACGGCCAAGCCATGACGGGAGCAGATGGCTTGCGGCACGATCTCGCCGAAGATGACTATGCCGATGGTGGAGACCACCACGGCTACCAGCCCAGAGCCGGCGATGTCATCCAGCAGGATGGTGAGGGTGGTGTTGACCAGCACGTTGCCCAGCAGCAGGGAGCACAGCAGGTAGTTGCCCTGGCGGCGCACCGGCTCGATGCGCTTGGCGTAGTTCCTCTCCTTGTCGGTGCCGCAGTTCTGCACGATGCGCAGCTCCATGGGGTCCAGGGCCATGAGGCCCAGGTTGAGGCCGCTGAACATGCCCGAGAGGCAGAGGAGGAGCGAGATGAAGATCACCTGCAGCCAGAAGGGCAGCAGGAACTTCTTCTCCTCGCCCACGATCATCTTGGTGTCCTCGCCGTCGTGGTAGATCCAGGTGGTCTCGGTCCAGGGCGGGGGGCCGGCGGGGCCGTCGGCCCCGACCGGGCCGCCCCCGGGGGGGCCGGCGGCCCCCAGCGCGGCCGGGCCCGACACCGAGGTGCACAGGTAGTAGGACTTGCTCTTCTCGGTCTTGCGCAGGGGCTTGATCTCGATCTCGATGATGCCCGAGGTGCGGCGGTTGAGCACGATGTGCGGCCGGATGATGATGTCCGAGGTGCGGATGCCGCAGCGCTGCGGGGAGCTGCCCTCCGGCGGCCCGTCCTCCTGCTCGGCCGGCGGCCGCCCGCTCCGCCGCCGCTCGTGCTCGGTGAAGGCGATGCGGGACCAGGTCTCGTTGTTGATGTTCTGCCCGTAGACCCGCAGCTTGACCCGCGTCCGCTCGCTCACCCGCAGCGCGCCCCCCTCCATGAAGGAGACGTCGTTCGTGTCCTCCAGCCGCAGCCCGATGATCACCGTCTCCTCCGCGTCGCCCGGCGCCCCGCTGCCCCCGGCCGAGGAGGCGGAGGGGACGCCGGCGGCGGCGGCCGGGGGCTGCTCGCCCAAGCAGCCGCTGAGGAGCAGCAGCAGCAGGACCCGCGCCCCCCGACCGCCCCCCGCCATGTTCCGAGCGGGCAGCGCGGCCGAGCCCAGCGCCATCTTGAGGCAGGGATCAGAACCGCCGGGGCCAAACATAGCGGGACGGCTGCATCCCGCGGCGGCGGCGGCACTGGCTGCCCGCGAGAGCTGACAGGCGCCGACTGCCGGGCCCTGAGAGGAGCCGCTTCAACCCCTCTCCCAGGGACGGAGCCGGCCGCGCGCGCGGCCAATCAGGGCAGGCACGGGACCACTGGGCGGGGCCCAGAAGCCGTCCCCCAGCCAATGCCGAGGCGGCAGGGGCAGGGCCCTGCCGAAGCCTGCCCCACCCCCTCCCCGCTGAGTTAACAACCGGCGAGCGCGTGACTCGTGTGTGTACTCTAAGGGAGAGGGGCGTGGCTAGCGGGACTCTGCGAGCCAATGGAAGAGACTCTCTGCCTCAGGGGGCGGAGACTGCCAGGGGAGCAACCAACGAAGGCGCGCGCTCTTCCGCGGGTCTGTGCCCAGGTGGAGCTGGCGCGTGCTTGCAGTGGTCTGGACGTGGACTTGGTAGCACCGGGGCCCAGGCAACCGCCCGTCGCCTTCGGCAACGCCTCTTTAGACGGGCCTGGAGCTTGAGTGCATCTAGCAATGCTTCATGCATTCGCGTGTGGAAGCGTGCAGCCGTCCGTGCACCACGCTGCTCCATTCCCACTATGGAACACGCACAGACCTGCCGAACCTTTGCAGCTGAACATGGAACACGAGCATCTCCCTGCACGTGCGCCTAAAATGCATCCAACCAACGGTGCAATTTAGTGTTGCATCCACCTGCCCATGCAGGTAGTAGATGCTTCTGCGTGTGCGTGCCTCCCTCCCTTTGTGCATGCATCCATAAATCCATCTCCTTCACCAACTGTTTATTTACACTGCGTTAATACCAGGGGCAGCTCTATGGTTTTTGCCGCCCCAAGCACGGCTGTCAGGTGGCTTTCGGCGGCGCACCTGCAGGCGGTCCGCTGGCCACACAGATTCAGCGGCATGCCTGCGGGAGGTCCGCCGGTGCCGCGCCTTCAGCATCCCCGCCGCCGAATTACCACCGAAGACTGGCGGACCTCCCGCAGGCATGCTGCGGAAGGCAGCTTGACGGCCGCCCCCCGCACCTTGCGGCCCCAGGCACGCGCTTGCTGCGCTGGTGCCTGGAGCCGCCCCTGGTTAATACACATGGGCTTTACTGACCTCCCCGCCTCTGCACTTGGAGCTGGGGTGTAATTCCCATTTCTAGCGGGCATGCTCACGCTAGCTGCCCCGCGTAGGTACCCACAGCAAAGAGGCAGGTTTGCATTTATGGCAGATGGCTAGTCCCGGTGCTCTGCCTTTACTATCACAGGCACGCTACTATTTCTATCAGGTTATCTGGATGAGAGAGCTAGCGCCAATATGTCTACCAGAGCTGCCTGGGAATCACATCCCCACCTCCAAGTGCAGAGTTAGCCTTTAACACTTTGCTCTGCGCAACCATCCTTTTAGTAAAGCCACGTAGTTCTGCGTGGGTCTCTCTACTAAGCTATTTAATGCAGGCAGCTATCCATTCATCTACTGTAAATTTGTGTCAGCCAAAGCAACAGAATTAGAAACCCAAACTGACAAGAAGAAGCAGCTATTCAGATACCAGCAGCTCACTGCTATTGCAAAGTAAAATCCCTAGAGCTTGCCTGAACATCGCTCCTGCTGTAGTATGGGGAGGGACAGAAGCTTCCCCGGGCTCCAGTAACTATATTTTCATTAATTCGCTCGGTGTATATTACGCCAAACCCTTTGCAATAGGCAATGCTGCATTCAGAACTTGGATCTAGACCATGCATCACATCCTGTGGTAAAGGATTATTGCTTTGGGATATGTTCTACACAGGACCAGGAGTTGTTTTAGCAGTTCTCCAGCGCAGAGCCTCTGAATGTTTGTGATGGCTGTGCGGCTCCCCCTAGTGGCAACAATAAGTATTTAGAGCCATGGTTAACTTATCCATAACACTTTTCAAGATCCCTGATAAGGAAACTGAGACAGAGGGGAAGGAACTTGGCTGAGGTCACATAGCATGTGCTGGAAATATTTCAGCATCTAAGAACTTTGTTCCAGTGGAACAAAGCAGGGCAGGTACTTTCTGAAGGCTAGGCTATCTAATGGGTCCAAAGATGGTAATACCACAGCATGAAGCTGTCAACACAGGGACATATTTGGCCCCACATTCAAAACATCCGATAGGTCTATCCTGTGAGGATCCATTGCATTGGTACCACTCTCAACTGGCCTCAAACACAAAGGCAAGAAAAGAAACAGCAAAAGGTCTCCAGTGTCAGGCTATGCTGAGCCTTAAGTTTGAGGAGGAGGAAAAGAAACATCATAATGAATGCAGGAAGCATACTGCTACAATTCCTATCACAGTAGAATAGTGCTGAGGGCCCCTTCATCTTTTCCTGAGCTGCCAGTCTCTAGGTGGTAATGTTAGTTTCTTCATTAGGTGGAGGGTGGGTATCCTCAAACATTGCCAGCAGGGCTTATTGTTATATCCCAGAGCAATTGCTCTTCTGGGCACCATCTGCTCCAGGGACCAGGCATGAGTCTTTATGAAGATCTCTGTTCAGCACATTGTCCATGGGCTGCTGCACAAGGTGGGCTAGAAGCCTCAACAGGGCAACTTGAAGCAAGGATGATTTGGCGCTTCCTGACCACTCTGCTTGTACGTTGCATCCCTTGGTCTATCCTGTCAATTTCAATTTTGATGCCTTTGGAGCAAAGACCATCCCATAGTATCTGTTTGGACAGAGCTTAGCACAATGAGGTCCACTCCTGGTTGGGGCTTCTGGCTGCTGTTGTAACCGTGATCCCACTAATCATTACGAAGGATAAAAGTCAAGTAAGATTAAACAAAGGAAACAATCATGCCACAGATCAGAAACCACAACGTTCAACCAGCCTCAGAATGACTACTTAACGAAGCGCAGCCTTAAATACAATAGTTCAGCTGGCAACAGGGCATCTGCATTCAACAAATTGTATTGACTCCATATTCAGACATATAATAACTTTCTGCTCATAATTATTTCGATCCAGCTTTAAATTGCAATCTCAAACCACACTGTAAACATCAAATTCAGCTGCTTGTAATGAGATCCTTAGCCAAGGCACATACGTAATTATATTTTGCATTTTACGTTAAGTTGTAGGTTAGCTTAACTGAAATTAAAATGTATTTCCTTTAAGTGCTGCTGGTGAAAAGGGTTGGTTTGGCAGTTCTGGAGAGTGAACCCTTCTATTTAACCAGTAAATGTTGAGTTCACACTTCAGCTCAGTCAAAGAATGATGTGTAGACATGAAATAGGTAGATCCTAAGAAATGTTATTTCCCCAAACCAGCCAACACTTGTGACAAAAGACTGCTCACCAGCCAATAGTCGACTGTGCATCATTTGCAGGTATTAAGGGTCTGATATTTGTTTAGCTTTGAGTTTCAGCAGAGGTCTCCGATTGCCACCTGCCAAGCTATTATCAGCAGGCACAAGACCAGTGACAAGATTTCTTACCAAAGCCATTGTTTCTGTATGTACGCCAGAGACAGGTCAAGCTCCTATCAAGCCCTCCATGCAATGAGGAGTTCACCTCTCTTCCCATGGGTTTTTCACTGTTATTTCTCTTCTTGGGCTTTATCCCTTTCTCTTCCCTCGTGTCTCATATGCTGCTCATCTCACGCACTGAGGACCCGGTCTCTTAAACTTTTCCTCCCTGCCTGTTGTCTGTTTCTCTCCCCACGGGAACCCAAATGCTGTCCCTGCCTATCTTAAACCTTTCTCGGCTGCTTCAGTTCAAATGGACTAACGCAACTTCCCAACTGCCATTCTCAGAAATTTCTCACAACAGCTCAATTCAAACGCCACCCTCACTGGCCATGCCTGGCTCCCCGATTTCAGCCTGCCACTTCCTGCTCTCCCAATTCAAAATGGTTCTCAACTGCCACTTGTTACTCCTCCAATTCAAAGGCCAGGCTGAGCTCCCCCACTTCGAGTTGAGATTCTCAAATGTTCACACCCAGCTGCCCAAATCATCCTGCCCAGTTCAAACAGCCCAATTCCCCATCTACCCCCTCACCACCCAATTCAACCAAAGCTTCTCCATTCAAACTCTGCCCCCCAGTGGTCACACCTGTCACGTCTCTCACTCTAATTCAAACTGTCACTTTCAACTGGCAAATGCAACCTCCCATTTGACCAGTTCAAACTGCTAAGGAACCTTTCAGTTGCAGAGCTGCTCATTAAAGGGGTATCACCTGAAACAGCCTACTGGATTTTTGAACAGTAGTAGAGGAAAAGCATAGGACTCCACCTGTCCCCTATTATTTATCCATTAGGATGCAGGCTTAAATTAACTGACCATAGTAATTAGTTTCCTGGAATCTGTTTATTTTGCAACATTTTAATTATCTGGTTCTAGTAACAGATGTCTTTGGACCTTTTCCTGGCAATCCCATTGTGTCCATCTCATGGCGCACAAAAGTATGATGAGAGCAGTACAGCTATCTCAGCACACACCCCACACACACACAAAAAGGAACTTAAAAGGAATCTCCTGCTTTAATGAGAAAATGCACAGTAACATATGTGTTAGGGAGCAGAGCTGGGATGACCAGTTTTGGCCAAAATATTTCTTTAAAGACTTAGGTGACATTCACAAAATGGGAGGAGGGGGTGGTAATGCCTCCCTTATAACCTTTAGCCCAGGGGCTAGAGCACTCACGAGGGAACTAGGACACCTCGGTTCAATTCTCCACTCTGCCCCCATTTCCACACAAGGAAAGAGATAACCTGACATGCAGATCAAATGATGGGTCGAGGACTTCATCCGTCTTGGAAGTACAATATGTACCAATGGCCAGTTCACTAAAGACGGGAAGGCAAGAATTGGCAAAGCCAGTGGCTCAGTGTCCTGTTTGTCAAACATCTGGAAGAGTAAGAAGAAGATACATCTACACACTAAAATTATATTGTGCTGCGCTATTGCCCTCACAACAGTATTGAATGCCTCGTTATCTGGCACATGGTGAAAGTACGCAACAGGAAGCTGAATGCCTTTCACTAGCATTGTTTAAGAAGAATACTGGGAATTCCTTGGAGAGATCGTGTAACCAATGTGGAAGTGTTGCACCACATGGGTCAGTAGGCTGTGGACTTAACAATCAGACAGACAGCTAGGGGAGTTTGGCCATGCCATCGGGCTACCCTGTGGCAGAAGCATAAGGTACATCTTAGATTGGATCCCACCTGGAGAGAAGAGAAGGCGTGGGGGACAAAGTGTGGCCTATCAAAGGACGTTACAAAAGGATGCTGCCATTATGAGACAAAGATGGAGTCAGACATCTTGCTCTGGACAGACAACAGTGGGGAAAATATCAGTTGCCTCGTGCCACAGGAGATTCTAGAAAAGCTGATGTGGAGAAGGGATTTGAACTTGGGTCTCCCCCATTGTAGGGGAATACCCTAACTGTTGGCCTACATGCTAGCCTGAGGCAGGAGTCTCTGGGAAAGCCCCAAATTCAAATCCCTGCCCCACATCAGGCATTGAGGTGCGGGGGGCAGGAGAGAAGAGGAAATTGAACATAGGTCTCTCGCATCCCAGGTGAGTGCCCTAACCATGGGGCTAAAGATTATAAGGGCAGCAGCTATCCTACACCCCCACCCCCAGCCCCCGTTTTGTGAATCTACCCTTTCATTTCCCCTCATTTTAAAGAGTCCCTGGAAACTAAGCCAAATGTTTAATTTCATGTCAGACAAAACATTTTCTTCAATACATAGCAAATCTTCTCAATTTTGTTGATTCGCCAATGTTGTTTTGGATCAAACTGGTTTTTGGGTGTTTTTTTTTTTTTTTTTTTTGGAATTGCCACCAAACCAAAAAATCAGTTATTCGCCCATCTCTAGTTAGGAGGGTTAATTTATTGTTCCGGGATCCGTGGATGAAAGACGCTGTGGTAGTAATTAATAAAATCGTTTGT